TGACTAATTGTTAAGGCTTCGTTAGAACTAGTTTATGATACGGTCGCCTGTAGACGCTATTTTTGAGAAGGCAAAGTTTTACCCGTACCTGAATAGGTGGTACGTGACCTTAGCATTAGCTAAATTAATTTTCTGTCTCTCTCAATAGCAATTACCGTGTCATAAACTTTAGGGAACCCAAGAGTCGGACGGCCACGGTGACCCGATCAACGGTACCGCGCTGACGTCACCTTGGGCCTTTCCCCGTAGGGGTGAGAAGTCGCTCATCACCCCCGCTCCGAATCCTTCCCGCTACCTTTCCACAAATTCCATCCACCAATTGAATATTCGCATTTTTGTCACCCCGTTTTCCACTTCCCTTCCCCTGTCAACCAATCAGTACCATCACCGATGCTTTAAAAACACGCGTAAACGTGTCTTAGGAGATAGTTAAGAATAGTCAATAGTAAAGGGAACACAATTGCTAAGAATAATAGAAGAAGAGTTATTATAATTTACATAGTCTCTTCGAGACATACATATTGAACTCTAGTCGGCACATCACGTGCAATCTCTACAAAGCTCGATAGGTATCTCATTGAGATCCGATCACGAGCGTTTACACTATTCGTAACGTTGCATCTGAGCCTTGGAATTCATAATTCAGGTGTTGTAAAGGGTCTCCATGAAAATGTATTTATAATTCGAAGTACAACTGGATACCGCACGAACTGTCACCGAAAAATTTACCGGACCGCGTGTCTGTTTGTGTTTCGCTTCGTGCTAGACAAAGTCGAGATTTTTCGCATCACCTGATCACGACAGATGAAAAGTGGGTTTTATAGAATAATGTAACAGGGAGTAGACATTGATCAAAACCCGGACAACGTCCTTCAGAAACTAGCAAGAAGAAATTAACGATGGAAAAAAGGAATATTGTGAGTATGGTGGAACGTGTGTAGAATAATTTATTACGAGCTGCTCGATTCAAATACAACCGTCAACTCTGATTTGTATTGTCAACAATTGGAAACAGTGCAGCAAGAATTGCGAATTAAAAGACCATCCCTTGCGAATAGAAAGGGCGACCTGTAACTTCAGGATAACGCAATAAAAAAGAAATATCAGGACTGCTATGGGAACTTATTCCTTATCCACGACATTTCTCGGATCTGGTACCAACAGATTTTCGTAATTCTCGATCACTACAGAACAGTTTAGGCGGAATAAAATGAAGTAATTTTGAAGCCGTAAAAAGTGCAATAAGTTCATTTTTTCCTTATAAATCCCAAGATTTTTATGAAAGAGGCATTATACAACTTCTGCATAGATAAGAAACTGTCATATATGTAGTATCGGGGCCTCCATACCCAAATAGGAAACCGACAAGGGAGAATAGAGAAGGGAGTGGTTGAGGGTCCTCCTCAATATTTTTCCGTCGGTTCCTACATATGGGGGCTCGTCCGGGATGGAGGCATCTACGGCTACACAAAGCCAGAAGGTGTGCGATGAAAACATGTTGAGGGTTGCACGTCTCCCAAAAATGCGTTGTTTCGGCTGTGTGTCACTGTGTGGGGGGGAGTGTGCCCGAAAGTGTTGAGTTGTGTTGCACTGAGGACATTCGAAGGCGAATGTCAGTTCAGGATGGCCGAGTGTAGTATTCGGGGCCTCCATACCCAAATAGGAAACCGACAAGGGAGAATAGAGAAGGGAGTGGTTGGCACAGCGGGCAAAGCCTCGGCTTGCTAAGCCGAAGGTCCCGGGTTCGATTCCCGTTGGGGTTCCCTCAATATTTTTCCGTCGGTTCCTACATATATAATGATAGAAAATATCTAAAATATCGAATTTGTAGAAGAAGTACTCTAGCGGACAAAACTTATCCAGTCACCTAATATTTTACTCGAAATCGTAGAAATCGTAATTCTCTTTAGAAAATTTCTTATTGTATTCGTGTAACAGCTTTTGAACTTCCAAAACTTATGCAGCAACCTAGTACTTCCAAATTTTTCAGAACCTAGTGTTTCGTCCACTTTCTTCGATATTTTCCATTCACCACCTCACGCTATTTAATGAATTTTCAATCTCAGAGAACTCAAAGCTTTAAACTCTCCTGCAAATTTCCAGTCAGTCTCTATCGTTTAATCTATTCTCTATTGAAAATCTAAACAGAGCGACCGCGAAGTCGCGAATTCATCAAAGTAACCACTGGCAAAGTCTGGAATCCTTTGGACTCCCGATATGAAGATTAACGACTTCCGAGTCTCTGATTAAACACATCCCGGCTGTCCAGGAAGGTGCTAACGCTTTTGTCTGTCGCCACAAAACAACGTTATCTCGATCCCGTAACGAAGCCAGCCGAAACCGCGATAAACGCGCATCGAAGCTTTCTGAAAACCGCGTTGCCACTCCTTTCTCTCTCCCCCGAGAACCTTCGCCCATTGGATCCAAAGATAATGATGAACCTTCGTGAACTATCGCTATAAGATTACTCGACGCACACCGACTTACCGATACGAAGATTAACGATCAGGCGAGATTTAAGTAGCTTTATTTAATGTTTGGCAAGCTTGTAATTCCACGCTGATGAGAAACAAGATTTAATATCGGAAGTTTTAGAAGAATTTTTCTTAATATTCAAGATATGTAACAGAACACTGTTTATGGTTCACCATTAGTAAAAGTTAGCTTGCAGCTGTCGAGAAATTAGTCCTAGACATTTTCATAATTGCTGCAAGTTAAAAACGTTAATTGCCAAAAATTACTTTATTACGCGTGAGGGGCCGACTGACGTACATATAAACGCACCTCGAGTATACCGCTACTATAAACCATGGCCCGCTACTGAACCGTTAAAGGCCGTTAAACAGAACACGCTGCATGACACACACGACAAAAGATTTCCACTTCCCTGCCAAGAGAAAGGTTGAGTTGGAGCTTCCAAGAATGATCAATTGTAGTAGACTAAGGGTGTCAGGTTGGCTAATTTTTATTACGATATATGAGAATGTGGTGGTAACTTCTACACTCCACCACCAGAGGGACGGAGTAATGACCTTTCTCGCTAGTCCTCGCTAAAGGCTCCCGTATGTATATATACAACTTCTGACTTTAGTTTAAAGCACGGGTCTTTTAAGTAGCCCTAGTAACGAGTCCATAGGAGGCCCAGGACGAAACTCCCGCATCTCCTTTCCTCTTTTCTGCCCATCCTCTATATCGCTATCTCTCCTTTCATAACTGACCACCATAAGAAATAATACATAAAGTGTCCGCCGCAACCACTGACTGGCGACTCTCGACTACCCCGTGGCTCGCCATTGGTCAACCTGTCGCACATCGTCCCTGAAAACTTCTCTTCTTACTGTAGGATGAGATAGGGCTGTGAAATTTCATACAGACGTTAGTGTTACCATTACTAATGCCTAGAAATTAAAACCCAAGAGAAAGAATCCTTACTGCCCAATTTGGGGTTCAAGCCTGGGATGGACGTCCTCCTTGATTCTTCGGGCCGGATCTAGCGATTGGTGGTTTCGATGGAAAGTAGAAAACTTGCTGAATGGAGGTATAAGATGGAATCTTGGGTACTCCGAAAGCCCTTCTCAGGACGACAAAACACTAAATATAGAATGTGAGATAAGAATGTTTGGACCGAGCGATAGTCAGATTGAGTGAGGTGTGAACGACAAGAGTTGTTTGGACCATATGACAGTCGGATTCAAGTGAGGTGCGAGTGAAGAGTGTTTTGACCGAGTGACAGTTCTTCTGAATGAAAATGCAGATAATTTTCATGATAAAAGCGATGATAACATGGTAACAGCGATGTCTTGACCGAAAATCGGCACGTGGCAAGAGTGTGTGAATGCGTATACAAGTCTCTGATCGTGTGTGAGTTGAGTATGAAAGACAAAGAACAAAGAGAGAAAAAGGAATTGTAAGAGCGAATGTAAAAGATGAAAGGGTGTGTTCAGAAATAAAAACTATATTCCTATCAAACAAACAATGACCACTTAAATAATATTTCTTACATTACTCTCTAACGGTTGCCTGTTTTAAAATATTTCAGAATACACATCCGATAACAGCCGTTCTCGAAATATCGATCAGAGACTATACAATAAAAAATGACTTAGCTAATGCAAACTCCGTCTTCAACATCACTACGCCTATAAGTTTGTCTGAAAAAAATTCAAACAGCTACTGATAATTCTACGCGAAATGGCACAGGAGTACTTCACTCGCGCTACATAAATCTCACGTAACGCAATTTTAAATGAACCGATTTGTCGAGTTTATCACGTCGGCCAATAATGATAATACACGTGCCCTATTTCTATGATTTTAATAAAAAAGATGGGATTATGGGGATGCGACGCAAGCAGACAGACCCGCATTTCTTTCATGGGACTTCTTTCCAGCTCTGTACAATACGTGCACCGCGAAAAACAAACTGTTACACATTGTAAATACATAACTTAAAAGTATAACGTTCACTTTCCTAATTTGCAACCCTTCCGTTACACGCACATTCATCAATTTTAATTCCTCCTGATAAACTTTCACGATACCATACGTTGTTTTCCCAAGTCCAAATGGAATTTCGAAACTTCTCAGATTCCCTTTTACATTTTCCCTACGATTTATGATTCCACCAGGCAAAAACGGGCTCTGTTTGGCAAGCACAGAGGCAAAGCCATTTAAAATCCTGTTCCTAAACTGCTACGCGCGCTGCTTCCATGCCAAGCAGCGGAATGAACTCACGGTAACGCGCAGATGAAGTCTATGTTGGCTCCAACGCTTGATTTTACCGTGATAATAATAACCTGCTAGAACTTCTTCCGGATTTATCTCAATATAATTGACTTAACTCACGAATCTATTGAAAAAAAGAAAAACTCTATCTTTCCATCGATTTCTATCTTTAGAACATTTTACAGTATTCTACGTGCTTCGTACAATGTTACATTGTAGTTGTTTAACCTGTAGAATATTTCGCGGGAAAGATTAAGAGTATTGATCGACAGGAGATGGGTAGAGGAGCGAGCCATGAAAGATGGATAACGGTCGGTCATTACTTTTTAATTGTTTCAGGTCTGCTGTTTCATCGCAGCGTTCTAATGTCTGGCAGCGCGCTTTCTCCGTGGGCACTGGTGAGAGGAGCCGCAAATTACGCTCTGCAAGTTGCCAAACATCTAAATTGCTCGTGGGTGAGTACTACCCGGAGTGCATTACATTAAGGTCTCCGGTTCGACGACAACTCCGAAGCAAATAAACCGCCGTTAGACATTCCCCATGAGGGAAACAATTTCTCCCTTCCCCTTCCCTTTCTCACTCTCTCGCACACACTCTCTCTGGATACGACACGAAAAACGTTTATTCCAGTTTTCAGTTCGGCTGGCGCAAAAAATTCTCCCAATCGTCCGACACTTTACTAGACGAAAATTAGTGGACTACTTTCTTTTAAGGGGATACACCACCCCGAAGCGTCTACAAATGGGTAAAAGCTTGGGAATTTTTTTCGTAGGTAACTACGGGATGAAAAGTTCCAATTTTCTCGGAGGATGTAAATGTAACTTTCAGCTTTTCTCTCGAATATTTAGAAAGTGAATATGTTACAAAACGGAGGAGCTATTGCGAAACATCTTTTGCTAGAACATCGATTGCTAGTCGCGATCACTGGCAAGGATTGGAACGTCTGAGATAAAACATTCTTCCTGATTTACATTTTAAAAGGTATTACCTACAATGTAGCTTAAGATTTTTTCGATATATCAATTATTTAATTTTTTATAAACGTTTAAAGTTGATTCTTTTTTGGTGAAAAGAGGTTTTTCCTCTTCGAACTGCCATCGTTTCTATAATAATTAAAATTTTTGAATAATTTTACCCCACATTGTAGTTAATACATTTTTATTCATAAATCAAAAAGAATTTTTTATTTTACAAGTTCCAATCCTTGCTAACGATGGCGACCAGCAATCGATATTCTCGCAGAACAAAGGTTTCGCAATTAGCGAATATCTCCTCCATTTTGCAACATTTTTACCGAGTCAAATAAAACACAAACTATTCGTTTATTCGTCAATTTCTCTTTAGTCACCTTCAAAGTAATCCCCATTACTTACGATACATTTGTGTCAACGCTTTTTCCATTCTTCAAAACATTGTTGGAATTCACTTTCTGGGATGGCCTTTAACTCGTTCAGCCAATTTCGTTTTATCGCCTCGATCGATTCAAAACGACGTCCCCGTAGAGTTTGCTTCAATCGGGAAAATAGGAAGAAGTCGTACGGTGCTCGATCAGGTGAGTACGGTATTTGGGGGACGCGTTTCGTTCAATTTTTGGCTAGAATGTTGCGAACAAGCATCGAGATGTGAGCTGGTGCGTTTTCGTGGTGCAAAATCCAAGAGTTCTCCCCTCATACGTTCGGCCATTTTTTAAGAATTTAATCACGCGAACGTTTCATGACATCCAAGTAGTATTCTTTATTAACAATTTGACCAGTCGGTAGAAATTCTTTATGTACCACACCGCGATAACCGAAGAAAACCGTCAGGAGAATGGACATCCTGAACGAAGATTGTCTTCTACCGACTCTCGGCTGTCTTCGAACAGTTCGTACTGTGATGCCCGGTTTGCTCCACTTCCTCGAAACTAGGAGCAGATATTGGGGTATCACTGAATTAAAACACTTCAGGATCGTCGTTGCGTAGAAACAGAACTTTATTTGACAGAGATTTTTGATGATACGTGACGTGCGCGTGGTAGAATGGAGAATGAACGTGGAAATGGAGGAAATAGGGCTATTTAAGGGTTCTGGGAAGATGGACTTTGGGTTGTGACTATGCAGGAGAGTTGGAAGGTGAAGAGTCCAGTATGAGTAATGGTGAAAGTGGGTGACTCGTTGTAAATACAGATAAACTGAGGACTAAGAAGGAAAATATTTAAGGGTGTAACAGTACGAGTACCTCAGGCAGTGGCTCTTATCATCGCGTAATGTAAGTTTAACAGTAAAAGTCAGTGCTTTTGAGTATTGTTTACGCACTTTCCGCGATTCTCAGTGTGTGGAACTCGTGTTGACGCAAGAAAGATTTGTACTAATGGTGCCTGAGGAAGAACGCGATACGAAGCATACTTTAAAATACTCGAGGATCTCTTCGTTTCTCACCGTTTTCTCTCAAGGTCTGTATTTTTAAATTTTCATCTTAACCTACTTATAACAAATTGACAAACATTGGCGGCGATAGCGGAAGTAAATCAGGAAACTCGTAGAACCGGGACAATCCTCCTAGGACCCCTAAACTTCGCGCTCAACTTGAGGGCTGTGTGGTGAACAACGGAGGGACTAAATATACTGGAGAGTGAGCAGGCCCCGCGTCCGCTAATTACTCGCATGCGTTGTTAACACGTTGATTGCCACGTTGATCACCTGTGACCGGAGATTGTTTCCCCGATGGGGCCACGGTGGTCATCAGTGACCGGAGGGCTTCAAATGTTTGGAATAATTAAAACAAAACGAACACCGTCAGTTAAAAATTTCGAACATCATAGCTAACTAGACATTATTTTAAATTAAAAAATAGATAAAGCATAATATAATACTATGTTTAGAATAATGAAAATTTTCTTGTGGCCCACTGACAATGAGCAAAACATGTAAATCTGGCGTGGCAGTCAACGTGTTAAGGGTTTACGACACGTCTATCACTATTGAGGAGACAGAAGCAGGGCTATATCAGTTTATACAAGTTTTGCACTCCAAGTTCAACTTTTTGCAAATTAAATTCACCCTTTTGCGAACCAAATTCACCCGTTTGCAAATAAAATTCAACCTTTTGTTTATATTCTGTTGCAACCTCAAATCACAGCTTAAAGGTAATTGCTCTTTTCAAAGAACTCCAGGCAAGTTATATGTCGATATAACTAAGGCCTGTCTAAAGACTACCCATTTAGTGAAAAATAGAATTGCTCCGATTTTACTTTACTGCACAAGAGAAAGATGTAATATTGAGTTCACATATAATGATTAGTATTGCGGCACATTTTCAAAATGTTCTTCTCTATTATTAAATATCTGCACACAGTTTTCATACTATACTCGTATATAATTATGAATTCCATATGTAATGAATTGGTAATTACTATTGAACGAGTGTTTCATGTGTATCTTTGTTGAATTCCTTAAGAATAAATTTACATTTGATTTGATTTTTATTACAAAAGCTTGAGAAAACAATTTTGTAGAAGAACTTGATTTACGAAAGGTTGATTTGATTTGAAAAATGTTGAATTTGGAGTGCAAAACCTGTATCACTCGCGGAAACGCAGACTTTCAGCGTTCGTAAAACAATTTCTAGACCCTGGCTCCTTAGTCCCAACGGTTAATTGTGCCATGAAGAAAGAAAATTTTAATTAAAAACCTTCTCAAAAATAGCCTCGCTAGTCGTCCTTGTCATAAACCGAATCATCTATGCAAATATTATTAGGACAACAGATTGCCCTAAGTTTATAATACGGTCGACTAATTTGCTATTTTTCAGGAATGGAACATTTTATTTCCCTAGCATGTATTTAACTTTACGATCAGGAGAAACGCCTAACGTTTAATTGGTCTTTAAGCGTTTGGATTCTCCTGTTCAATAGGAATTGACGTATCGCAAGCTTATTCCTCTGACAAAGGGCGAACGGAGACATGTACTACAATAGACGACGAGGACATAACGTACTTTCCGGGATTTCCCTCGACCAGCACATAGACTCTGATGTACCGTTACTCGCATTTGACATACTAACGACCTTACAAGGCATGAACGCCAGGACTCAGACACCCCCGAATTTTCCTATCCTTCTCGTTGGACAGAACTAATTTCCCCCCCTTTTTTCCATGTTCCTTAAGACACTCCTCTTGACAGACGAACGCGAATAAAAGGACCGGGACATGTGAAACTGGAACACACTTGATTCTTTGAACACACGAGACTCTCTGAACTCTGATCTCTGAACATTTCGTTATTATTATAATAAAAATTGTGTTGTGAATAAATAATATTTATTTGCCAAATAACTGTGGAGCTAACAAGTATATTGTTAAAAGTCGTACACAAATGGTACTATTGTACAAGTGCAAAGCTATGCTTTTATTAAACACTATTCGTTAATACTTTCCGTAGTTACCTACGAAAAAAATTCCCAAACTTTTACCTACTTGCAGACGCTTCCAGGTAGTGTACTCCCTTAGACGTGTTGAGATGTCAACCCTTTCGATATTTCTCTATGATTAAACATTTGAACACGACTTACCAGCATCGTAAATCACGTAATAATTCCATCGCGCAGAACGTGTTGATTTCAATAAATATCGCAAGTACCCATCACTTGTGCTAACAAGAGCACGTCTGACCTATCACCGGCTCATTCTACTTAACCTCTGTTCCACCTGATACGATAATATCCGTTCGCCAATGATACGATCAAACGTGGAACGTCGCAATTTCAATTCGAACGAGTCCAACTCGAACAACGAAGAGCCATACCAGAAAAAGAATCTCGATTTCATCGTAGAATCCCCGTTTTCGAGTGGCAATAGTCAGCCATTCCTCGCGTTCCCCGGTGGAAACACGTTCTAGATAGGCGAGCCTAAACAGACCCTCGATTTGCAGCCGATTGAAAATAACGATTAAACGCGGAATCGGGGGTAAGCGCAGCCCGATTGTTTCCCTCTCCTCCACTTCTGTTCCACCCCTTTGAATCCAGCGTTGTTCTCGTCGAGTGGAAAAAAACGGAGCAAAAAAACAGAACGAAGAGTGGCGAAGGGGGTGATAGGAAGGGGCGGCGGGAGTTGGAGGAGAACGGACGAAATGGAAAACGATACGATGGATTATGTTATGCGAGCGCCCAGGGTTGGAATTGATTGAATTTGTCGGTGGGAAAAAATGATGAAATTAATTTTGCCAGACGGATTTCGAAAGCCTGCGGCTAGAAAGAGGGAGAAAGAAGGTGGTGGAAAAGGGTCGGATCCTGGGTGTACCTCTCCTCCCCCCACGGATCGTTGGCGTTTCGTCGCGCGATCGTTGCTTTCGAATTCGGGTCGGTGCTCGCGTTGTTAATGCCAGAAGTGCTTCGAGGGTGCAGCCCGCGTATTTCTCGGTGAAACGTTGCGGTCAAATTGGATCTGCGGTTCGAGAATAACTTAAGAGCTGCATATTGGTGGAAATTCCAGGATCCAGCGTGAAAATTTGTCAATTTTTCTTTTCCTTCCTTTTTTTTTTTAGATTGAAATATCGGAGAAAATTCGGTTTACAATTGATTATCTGTACAGGGTGTCTCCGGCAAGACTGAACGCCTAATACCTCGTTTATTCTTAGTGAAGAACACAATTTAAATGGTTTTAAAAGAGGAGGATTGTAAATAGAAATTTTTCTTTACGATCAATCCTTTTTGGAATTTTTGTAAGGTCAGCTGATATTTTTTAGGTATTTTAGGCATTGGGTATTTTTTGCCAGAAAGCATATACATTTTCTATTACCATCTTGGCCAAAAGTTTAGGTACACCACGTTTCTTTAAATTACGAAATTTTAAATTTTTTAATTTCTTTTAATTTTTTTAAATTTAAGAATTTTTCGAAAAATGTTAACAAATATAGCAAGTTTTTAACAAATCTGTTATCACTCGTATCCATTGGAACGAAGTGAATTTCTATGGTTACCTGCTACGCTAACTCTGCATTCATAAAGGATTACTTGTCATAATAGCATTTCATATGTACATTAGACAAATCGTCTTAATTAATTTTATCACGTGGAATAGTGCACAATAGAGCGAACTATCGATCTAATTTCACGCTTTGCAAGCTCCAAACGGGGAGAACCAGTTAGGGAGTAGGAAACCCAAAAAAAAAAATTTCCTCCCGAAATTGTCCATTCCCCCTCCATTTAATGCTCTTGCAGCCGAAAATTGGAAACCTCGATGCGAGATCGGTACTCGAGCATATTACAACGTCGATTAAATTCGCTAAACGTAGGAATCGATGATCCTATAGGAGTGCAACGTGTGCCCTCCCCCTGAATTTCCTCGACGCAGCAGCTTGGTCGACATTCGATTGCGGCTAGCCTACGTCTGCCTCGAGCAGGATTTCCAAAGGCGATTACAGGGCCGGTCGCTAAAGCAATTCATTTGCGTGCAGCGGAATTGAAGCGAGTCGACGCGCGCGTGGTCGTTGCGTTCCGCCGAGCTGGATTCGCGTTTCGTGTCTACTGACAATTCGAAAATCAAGGAATCAACGATATTCCTACTGAATATTCCACGGACAATTCGACGATTCAATTAGAATTTCCGTGAGTGCTTAATCTGGAACGAGAGATGCGTGAATGGAGAATGCCTGAGCTAGAGCAACAGAGGTGCGAAAGAAGAGTGTTTGGGAACCGAGTATAGTTGGTGGAAGAGATATAGCGAAGTCGTAGATTAAAGTACTAAGCGGCGATACCGATTGATGTTTCAGGGTCATTCATCGCTTGTAAATTGATATTTAAAATTTCTGCTTGCAATCTTTCGTTGAAGCAAGGGTGTCCAACGGCGGCTCGCGAGTCACGTGCGGCTCTTTTTCCTCTT